CATTTGTGATTATTGAAAACATCATCCTTATTACTGTGTTTTCACTGCCAACATAGCCATTCCGTTAGCTCATTTAGCATCCACAACATTGTACACACAAAGCAGATTATAGATGCGATCATGAATTTCGAATCAGCGAAGATCTGATTCTTTGGTATCGCAATCAGATGCACTAGAAAAAAAACTTTTCAAACCTATAATTTTACATGACCTTGCAACTTTCATTTCTAAAAGTTAAAACTGATCTTCATGTAATATTTGAAATGTTTTTTCTCGATTTGGTATACTCGCACAGTTTTATTAAAACTTGTTGACGAAAATAGTCAATAAAGTTAATATCTAATTATCAAGACTGGCGCTCTACCATAAACGCACGATAAAATGCACACATTAGCCACTGGCAAAAATTCGACATGAAAAATGGAGGTACCGTTTAGTAGTGGCCATAAAACGTATTTACATAATCAAATGGTGGTGATAAAAAAATGACCTCCAATGATGAAATATCGCTATATCGTCTCTTACTAGGACATCTTGTTTTGTTTTAACCTCATAAATATATAATCAGCAAGAGAGAAAAACGAGACTTCTACGACAACTATCTGCCACCCCTTATCCCAAAAAAACAACCTCGAAAAAACGTCGACCAGGAAGAGAAATAAAAGCTAAAATGCGCATGCACAAAAGCCTCAGAAGATGATAACAAACGCACTCTAGATAAAAAACATCTCACACATCGACCCACCACAAACTACCTGGATCCTCTCCAGTGAATTGCTACCGTCCTTGCAATTCTGATCAACCAAGATAATGGGGTAAATCAGCTGTCTACTAATCTATAATAGGGTGGTTCACTTCAAATCTTAATCGTATTATGGTCGCTGGGGATTTCACTCATTCAGCTTATAGGGAGAAACGCTAGAAACGCGAAGATGACCATATTCATCCATTAGAGGGAGCTCAAACTTGACAAGCCCATCTTAAACCCCTTTAAAGGTGAAAAATTTCGTAATCCTGTCGTTAAAATGTCAAAATAACATTTCGCATTCAAACTACACATAAGTTATATACAACAGTCCGGGCAATTTTTAGCTAGAACATATTACTTTAAATGATAGGTATTTTTGTCAATAATCTTGACGCATCTGAAAACTTTGTAAACTCTAATAATAACATCCACAACTTATGTATAGACTATATCATTTAAAAACTTTTTTATATCGAAAAAGAATTCTGTTTATTAGATCTTTTTAATATCCAACTATCTAACTTTATCATTAAGAAATATAAACTAAATCAATTTATGTAATATTGGCAGTCTTACACGTAGAATTTGCTGTAAATAAAAACATAAAAACTTGTAGGGAAATAAAAATACGAGTAGTATGTACAATGATTTGAAATTGATAATACTAATAAAAATAAAACTAACTTGATTATATTTTCAGACATTGCAATATTTATTAAGAGACAAGTTTCGCTTCTTATTTTGCGTAATTGCAAACTGCTCAGAACTTATATTTTCAAACTCATTTTCAAAAGATTATTGTAGTTTGGACACATATTTATATTACTTATTTCTACAATATAAAATATATCATTTACCATCTAACTAACTATAAATTATCAAATACATTTTATAAACTCCGTATTTATGAGTGAAAGTGTGTCTTTGCCCAAATTAAAAGTATTTCACAACACCTATAAGGAAAAAATTACAAAAATCACTTGCCTCAATCGGAAAAGAATTTATCGAAAAAATACATTATGACGTCATTTCTAAACACCATCCATATCTAATCTTTGAAATAAACATATAAATATATCTAAAACAAACAATCTTCATCTTCAAACACAGTCAGCATCAGAAAAACATATTTAAATAAAATGGCGGAAATAGCGGGTCAGAACAAAGCTAAAACGTAGCATTAGCTCATTCTTGATAAATTGCTCACAATGGAGGTGAACTTACTCAATTACTCGAACTCACACGCGCCGCCCACGTTCAACATTGGACGCACAATAAGTGTCATGATTCGAAAGTCATTAGGAGTAAACACACGTCCCCCACGCGCTAACCATACCTCTGCCATCATCTCCATTAGCCACGGGTCATAGGCAGCGCTGACGCACTAATTACTCCGTCACAAACCAGTCAGGCAAGGGGCAAACTTAATACAAGAATCAGAACATCTCTTCGCACAATTGTCCATCACTTTGCTTCTCATGTAGTATTAAATAACAAGACATCTTTAAAGTAGTATTGTATCATTTGAGATGAAAATTGGGTTAGTTCTTTCAAAAATAGATCTTTCAAACCAGGAGTAACATTGATTATTAACCCCATAATAATACAAATCTAGAAAGACAATAAATAAAATATATCAAAAAATTTCAAAGCGTATTTCATACGTTCTTCAACTGCCTGGAAATTTTTTTAGGAATAATTAATAAATTATATTACACATATAATGCACATCTACCCCATAAGTTTATGTTTGTTCCAATACGAAGAATACAAAAATGAAATTTATTAACCAGAGTTTTATTTTACACACCATAAACAATCTCAAGTCCTTCCGGTCAAATAATCAAGAGCAAGAAATATGGAATAAAATATTGACTGACAATTAAAGACCACAAACGCAGCACGCACAAAAGCATTTTCAGTACTAAGAGAAAAATAGGACTATGAAGTCCCATCCCCCAATACAAAAACACACTGCAAACAGTCTCACCTGAATCATCATCTAGCACAAGCATCGTATAACTTCATCCATACGCACAAACATCGCGAAACGCTTCATCCTTACGCCCCGCCGGCGTCGACTCTTTTCCACGTGTTATAGCAGCACCGAAAACGCCGCATCCACGACTTGCGCGAATTATCATCCTCAGAACGGCAGCCCCGCAGGACCGCGCGAGCGGAAACGTCCGGACATCCATCTCTGCATGCAACGCCCCCATGCGCTTCCCCGACTCAGCGCCCTGCGGCGAAGCAGGAGGCGGGGCGCCCGGAAACGGAACACGAGGCAAAGGCGGGCAGGCCGGAGAGCTGCATTCGACACACCAGCAACAAGTCTGAAGTAGATCCCTTAGTGTGGGGGCAGGTGGCGCACTTAGAGCCGAGCGAGCCCAGCCAGCCGAACGCTTTTAGCCCAGCCCGGCCGGCACTCGCGACGATCACGTCAACCCAGACAGAGACGGCGCGGCCCGCGGTCACACCGCCCACGAGGCGAGGACGACGAGCTGGGCGGCCAAGGCTGCTAAAGAAGGGACCGGCGTGGGCGGTCGCCCGAACGGGCTGTCGGAATGCGAGCTGTCACATTGATCGGTTCGCCCCCGGTTGGCCGATCGCGATCTAGTCCGTCGCTTGGGTGAGGATCACACGGACAATGGTCGGTAGAGATCGATACGATTTGCGCAGGCGGCGGCGGTGGTGGTGGCCCGGTTATGATGCACATAGTGAAGTACACACGAAGGCGAACGCAGACGAGGTGGAATTCCCCGGGGTACCTCACGGGGCTGGCGGTGGTTCACTCGGTGCAAGCAGGACTGCCCCGCCGTCGACTGCAGAAACTACACGAGTAACCGCGTGCACGCCAACTCCACCCTGGCTGGCCGGCCTCGTGTTTTCAAAGGCGGTGGGTGGCGCCGGCTGGCGGCGGGATCGGATGTGGGGGCGGCGGCGGCGGAGGAGGAGGAGTAGAAGGAAGAGTCGGTCGCGAGCGCGGCCGGCGATATTAAGCGCGCCGGAGGCGGCGGCGGCGTGGCGCGGCGCGGCGCGGCGGGGCGGGGCGGGGGTGGAGGGCCGGAGGCGTGGGTGGTGGTGAAGGTTTGAATTCCATTAGGGGGCGAGCCGCGCGGCAGGCAATATCCCTGCCCGCGGGCTCGCGCGCCCTTGAATACCTAGCAGCGGCTCGGCGACCTCCCACTCCCCCCCGACGCCGCCGCCTCGGTCGTAATACTGCGGTGCCTGCGGCCCACTTTGCCCTGGCTCCTTCAGGCCCTGCCCATGAAACTTCGGGTTGACCGCCCTCATTAACCCCGGAATTGCCTTTTATCACACCGGCTTTGTTGATATATTCAGGAAACAACAAAGAATAGGGTGATATATCAATCATCGACCAATGTATTTTTCATTTCATCTTACAACTTCACTAAAAAATACAAAGGATTTACTTTAAAAAAGAAGTTTGAATTTTATTCTCAACTCAATTTCGTAATTGATTTATTTAAATTTACGTTTGTTACCCCTATAATCCCTGCAGATATGTTATCACGTGCTTTTTTTCACAGAATTTTATAGCATAAACATTGAATTTAATCTTAAACTTAATAAAATAAATGTTTGTCTATTGTTCTAATGTTTGTTTATTTATCTCTTAATTGAATCAGTAATCAATCTATTGAAAGCAGTTGAAAATTCGCATATATAAGCGTTGAAGCATGTTAATGTAAGATTATTGGTAGCGATCAGGAAACAGTCAGTTTTGTAAGCTCGAAATTCATTTTTAAATGCACAGGTTAGTGAGTCTAAATAAATACAATTTTCAGCAATCGTATGTCATACATGTCTCTTCATAAAAACGCAGTGATTATACATTATACTTGACTTTTACGTTTTTAATTAAAGATGAGCAGTATGCTTTCTTATTACTATAAAATACATGTACAGATGTTGGTTAACATAAAACACTTCAATTATTTTCGGTACTGTTTATCTTTGAGTTCATAGTATATAGTGGTTGTATTTTTTTCTGAATTTGTAAACCTACCTAATTAATTAGTGTTCGAAAGTAAGTACTAAACAACATAAAACAATTTCTGAGATTTCTGCTTTTCTGTTTAGTGGATAAGAAGTGCATTTCTAACTTTTCAACTGCTCTGCGTTTTGGCTATAGACATATATGACTAAAGTCTATGATCTATGTAATTATCCATTCAAACATAATTTACATACGCGCTTATCAATTGATTTTCGATGTGATTTTTTTTTCTCAGACGTCCGCGACACTTCTTGGGTGTGGATCTTTCTTAATTTTCTCAATTGTCAATACCAGCTCACAGTCCGCCCTTGGTGTCTTCATAACATCATACTGACTTACCTTTAAATAATAACACTTAAAATAAACATTTCCCATTATGATGGTCGAAAGCGCATCGCCAATATTGCAGACTCACTTGCAATTTTTCTCTTCATAATTTTGGAATCATAAAATAATAATATAAACGTTACATTTCACTATTAAAAAAACCTTATACAAGGCTGATTCGATGATTTTTAGACGCGTTCTATTCCCACTCAATAGGTTTCCGAGAGTGACCTCCTGATTGGTTGGCCCTCTCGCGGCCTGCCCGAGGGCCCACCCTTTGCCACAGGTGCCTCTGTCGCCTAGATTGCCTCCGGCGTCGCCTCTGTGGTTCCCCAATACCCCACCCCCTACATCGTGCCCCTTGTGCCATTCCAGCTACGCCCCCTTCCGCTATCCTGACTGCTCGAGGCGTACCACCATCATTACGGTAGGAACATAATTACCTCCTGGTTTCATGCACTGTTTCGTAGGCGGTGACCATTGAGTCGATAAAACGTATTAAGAACATTTAGAAACAATAATATGCGACGCTTCTTTCCAATAATATAGACTGTGTAACTATAAAAGAACTAAAACCTACATATATTCAGTACATTCAGAACGATAATTATTTATAAACACATGAAGAATGTTAACAAAAACGGAAATTACTTTGCAAAAGTTACTTTCTTATCCCCGCAATTACACAATTTACCGTAGGAAGAGAAACAAACATATACTATTGGCAAGCAAAAGGGCTATGTTTCTGAAAATATCTATACTAATGCGTTTTTATAGAATTTTATTATTCTAAAATGAGTTATAAAAATACGTATTTACCTGTTTGAAATGTTACAACACGTCTAAACATTTATAAAGTTGTTTTCACATTTTTATTATCCTGAATGGTATACACGGTTCACTTTAACATAGCAAACTTTTTCACATGCTTGATGCTTACCCTCTGTTTTAAAATATTAAGCGTATACTACTTGTAACGTAAACGGGTTCGTATGAGATATGTACGGAGGCAACGGTGCGTTAAAAGAAGAAATATTCAAAATATCATCAAATGAAATCTTGAACACTGTAAGCAACCAACCTCACTATCACATTCAGTTTCGGGGATACGAAAGAGATACAACAAATAACCACCCCACAACCATCGTCCACCATTGGGTATGGTTGCCAATCATTCAAATCGTCCGGCCTTTCTGTAGATTGTGCTTCAGTGTTTCGAACTGTCCAATATTACGTTCCGACCTTCATTTACAAATAATACACTACTTGTTCTTACAAGTAAAATATGCTATTAACATTTTTAATAATGTTCCAGAATATAACAAGTGTCTAAGAGATATTACAGCTTATTAAAAAAATCTGTTACATTTTCAATTTCTAATATTACTAAAAAATAAAGAATTAAAAAGAGAATAAAAAATAAAGAAGAAAATAAACAATTAAAATAAAAAAATGAAGTCATACATTTATACAAATATATTCCCTTTTATACTTAAAACAATTGCTTTCGGAATCAAAATAAATAGAACACCTTCCTTAATCTACAGAAAGAGCTGCGGCTGTGAGATTAGAATTTGATTTTCAGCACGACTATTAGTTTTACATTAAACAGATAAACGCAGTTTCAATCCCGACGATCCCCTTTTCCTCTAATGACCTCTTTCGAATGGAATTTGGCACCGCTATCCCCCAGAAGTGGTCGTTCAGGCGCCACTTCGGGCTGCCTTCGGCGTCTCCGGCGTCGGTGTCGGGCGTCGGCGTCGCGGCGCCGTTTTGCAGCCGGCGGCGGCGGGGCGTCACGTCATCCGTGACCTTTGACACCTGCGCGCTGCCCTCAGACACGACATCGCGGAAAAGGAAGAGATAGGCGAGGAATTTGTTGAGAGGGAACGAAATGAGAAATAACGATCCAAGGGACAGAAAGTTTCATCAGAATTTTCTGCATTCCTTCTGACACATCGTACTCTCCAACAAAATCGAAAAGTACCTTCAAAATATGTACTTAAATTATGTAATTCAGTATAATAGTACAACTGAAGACGATTTGATTTAAAGTAATACAAAATAATACATTTTATCAAATTAATATTACAGTATATATTTTGTTAAATATTAAAATAATATGAAACAGGAATTTATGTATGCCATTTCACAAAGACAATTCAGGTTTTCGTTTCTTTAGGTTGATATCCAGATGCGTACCATTAGAAGAAGTCCAAGTCATGATCATTCAAAATATTAACGTATTTAAAAATTGGAAATAATCGAGAAAAAATACAGAAATACCTTCACGAATCAATATATTGTTTTCAAAAATACCCCAATTAGGTTTGAAACTTTAAAAGAAAGGGTAAAAGTTTTGGAAAAAGTGGAACTGTAGTGTCCGTTTCTCAAGAAAAAGTTCGTAATACTTTCACGACTATAACGAGATAACAGTCGACAACACATTCCTAAATGAGGAAAATTCACATATTTTAGCAGTAGGATACGCCCGACCGATCCGATTGAATCCAATCTGCATGAAGAGCCGGGCGCGGCGCTGGGCGCGGGCCAGAGGTCAGCGCTGCCTCGGGCGTCAGCGCCTCGAGGCGGCTGCCCTTAGGGCCTCCCTCGGCGCCGCAACCCCGGAGCGCCGCGCCGCTTTCGTGCGACGCCCTCCCCGCCCCTTCCCTCGCAAACTTCCCCTCCCCCTCCCCTGCACGGCCAGAGTACACGGACGCCACCGCCGCCGCCACCGCCGCGGCGCCTGTCACGACCGTCAAAATCTGCACCCACCTCCATCTCGCTCCGGCCACTCCACTCACGTCTCCATCCACATATTTAAAATATCAAGAGCTTTCGTTTAGAAAGTCTTTTGAGATTTCTACTCAAATGTCGCCTTTCTTTAAATTAATGATAATGGGCAATAAATATGCTAGGACATGCACTTATGGTTTAATGAAAAAGTAACAAAATATTAATAATATTTTAAAATTAATCATATGTACGCTTATCCATCGTCATTTCTCAATTTCTTTGTTTTGTTGTGCGAGTTCCTATAGATCTGAAGAAAGCAGTTTTCTTTGATAGAGACCAAAACTAGGAGCAAGAGGTAGCCAAGCAAAGACAACGAGATTTTCTATGTGTGAAGATCAATAAATTGGAACATCAGTACATAAACACGATGTCCAGCAATGGACCCTCGGTAGGTCTTAATAGACTTAAAAGAACTCTGTCTTCTCTAGTTTTGTAAATACGAAAATACAGATTAGAGATATTGATAACTCCACAATAGATTCATATGATAAAAGGGTTGTTTTTAAATCTCATCACTACTACTGTTATTTTAATCAATGTTTGCCATGTAACCGGCCTCAACCACCTTTAAAAAAATAATCATTTGTAGCCAGAATACAATTAGCGCAAAAACTGAATCGTCAAACTCCATTACCACGTGGGTTGCGCAGCCAGCGAAAACGCTTCACAAATTACTATTCTTTTCATTGCATTCTAGGGAGAGATTCTTATAATAAGCCTGGATGAAAAATAAAATAAATTTGTGATTAAATGATCTGTGTGATTAGAATTATACTAAATTCTGTGCCAATAATTCGCACGGGAACCATTAACTTATAGGAAAAGTGATAATATGATATATCTGCTAAATTCGGAGTTCCAGTAATGTACGCTCCCTTTGCATTGGTTTAAAAACTGTATTATAACTTTAGGGACTGATTTTGGGACTGTGGGAGTTTATATAGCAAGTATTCGTTTGGAGAAAAAATTCATTAGAAGCAAGCGCCTGAGAGGTTCGTAACCCTCTACTTCACCCAAGACAAATCCGCAGTACACTTCTGAAGAGACGTAGATTCCGAAATCTCGGCAGCCCTTCACGGCTCCTTGGTACACAAGGACTTTCCCAGCACGCCAACATAGCCATACTCGGAACATGCGCCAACTAGCAGTGCAAACAAACAAGAACACAGCGCTCCAAACGAACTTTCTTTCCAACCCAAACTTCAAGCGAGTAGAGATTATTTTCAGTTTTACTGTGGCATTGATTTCCACATCGTTTCCACATTGTTTTCTCGCGCTCCTTTTCCGGTGTTTTCGTCTTCTTCGCCGTGCTTATTTTCTTCTCTTCCGTCGTTGCCTGTGTCTTGTCCTTCGTTTCCGCGAACAGCTCTCCTGACCAACATGTCTAGTCACGTACGGCCGCATCTGCCGCCACCAACTTCGCCGTTACCCCCAGTCGCAGCGCAGAAAGTTTCGCGAAAAAATAACTCGTATAAGAAGTGACCCCTTGCGGATCCCCTTGAAGAAACTCACAGGCATTTATATTACTAATTTCGAATACGTGCTTAAAATGACAGAAAACTAAGCGGTGTCTGACCATGTGAAAAGTACACTTCAGAACACTTTGGAAGGATTGGAGAAAAATACAAAAACAATGAAACAGTTTTGATTTTAACTGAAAAATTCAAATATTTGATTATGTTAATCCGCTATTTCTCATATCTGAGGTGACGGCCATATTATCATAATTAATATGTGTCTGCTTTCGACGTCATGCGGCGAGAAAGCTTCAGTTTTCACGTGTGCCGTATCAGAATAGTCAATTTTCCACACACTTCACAGCAGCATAATAATAATAATAATAATAATAATAATAATAATAATAATAATAATAATAATAATACATTTTGATCTCTAACAAGTGGAAAATGCTTCCAATTTCCTGCTTCATTCAGGCTGGTTAAGGTTTTTAATGTTTATGAAAAGAGAAGAAACAGAACACACGTATCAAATGCCGCCTTTCATCAACAATGACTAAAATAATATTCGTTTTCACATAGCTTCTGCTTTCGTCTCCAAATGACAAGAGCAATTCTCCGTAGCGTCAACTTCCCACACACTCTCTGCCGGAGTTTTTATTGGTGTCCAAATGACTTTCAAAGCGCAATTCACTCGAAGAATCGCACGAAAAATCACGTACACATTTTACACAAAACGTGTCAAAATGTATGATGTGT